CATATGTGCTCACCTCAAATGATAAACGTCGTCTATTGATCTATTCATTCTATTGTTGGAAGCCACTACTCAGGCCGAGTACTCATATGACATACTCAGCCCATACCTGATCTGGACTCGGGCCGAGTAGTCCGAGTATTGTAGCAGAAAAAAGGTTAAAAAAACATAAGAACACGAAAAAAAAAAATCTAAAAAAAATAAGAAATACATATTTTAAGTAAGATTGAGCAAAACACATCGAAATGAGACTAAAAAACTAGTAAAAAAAATAGATTTTAAAAAACCAACTTGTTACTATGGTATTTTTGAAATGATCTAAAAATAATGGGAAAAATATAAAAATAAGTAAGTATTTATTACCAAAGCACTTTCTAATATTTGGGAAAATGATGGAAAACAAAAAAACAACATATCCCAAATAAATTATTTATTTTTAAATTTTTTTTTTTAATATCCCCGAGTTGGACACCAAAATGGGATAAGTCGGATCCGCAAGGGGTCGAGCCAAGAGTTTGGGAACACTCAATCAGTCTATTTTCATGATATAATTTTTTGATGAATTAAGGTCAAAATAGTAGATTTGGTTCCGATTTAAAAAAGAAAAGAAATGTCAAAGCCTTTAGAAAGTGAGTGAAGTTGACAAATTAAATGTCGTTGTGCTCTTTTCTTTCCTAACCCACCGAACTCAATCAAAGGTAAAGATTGAGGACTAAATGCCCTCGAACACTTCCGCATTCAATGACACCATTCAATATGGTTCTCTTAAAGAGAGAGAGAGAGAGAAAGCGAGAGAGAGAAGAGGGGAGTAGTGTTAGAGAGAGAGAGAGAGGCTAGGGAATAATGTTAGAGAGAGAGAGAGACAGACCCAACCTATATTTTCTCAATCATGCTAGAGAGAGAGAGAGACCCAGCCTGTAGTTTCTGAATCCCGTGTTTTAGAGAGAGAAAGACCCAAGCTATAGTTTAACAAGCATGCATGCTAGGGCAGGCCCTAGATTCCAGTATGCATTGATGAGGGAGGTGAGATAAAGAGAGGGGAAGTAAGGGGACTGAGGGCATTAACGCCCCAACAATTGACTAATCACAACTTAGGAAAGGGCCCTTCCTAATACTAGCTGCTTAAGCTAGAGAGAGAGAGAGAGATGTAGAGAGAGAGAGAGGATTACCCCGCCAAAGTTGACTACATACATTATATGCCAACGGTCCTTGCGGCCCACGGTCATTGGCAGCGGCGGTGAGAGAGAACGAGGGTTAGTCCTCGTTGACCCCATTTTAGAGAGAGAATGGTAGTATTTCAAAACTCCGATTTTCGATCCGTTTTCCATCGTTGGATCGGTGATTCAAATTGGGTTTAAATCGGTCCCAATTGATGATTTAAAAGATTAAAAAAATAAAATAAAAATTTAAAGGAGGGGGTCATAGGTGAGGATTTACAAAGGACCTAAAAAAATTAAATAAATTTTAAAAAACAAAAAAAATACAAAGGAAAAACCGGGCCGGAACCTATACTATCCGACCGATTCCCATCTAAATTAATGATCATGACCAGAAATCTCCGAGTTTTAAAATACAGGAGAAAATTTCGATCCAACGAAGACCCTAATTGAGAGAGGGAGGGAGGGAGGGAGATTTCGTTTTCTCATTTGAGTCTTTAGTTGGAGAGAGTGATCTTTGCCCTCTCATTTCATTTTGTCTGGTTTTGATTTGAAAGAGAGGATAAGGAGATCGACTTAAAACGAAGTGGTCCAAAGGTCAAGCAATATTTGGTTTTTGGGCGATCTGGTCTCTAAATTTTGCTCGAAGATATGGTTTGAGCACCCCATCTAATAGCTAGAGGTGCTGGTGGATTCAACTGCTCATGCGTCCCCTCTAGTTTTGAAAGGTTTTAGCTCCCAATCACCGTAATTTTTATTCTTCTTTGGGCGTAAAAATGGCGCAGATGTGATGATGTTTAAAGCAATGTCTCGAACTTGGCTTAGGCATCGGGCATGGCGCTAGCCTGAGCTTGGTTACTCGGTCGAGCCTACTCGGATATGCCAGTGTATATATCAAACTAAACAAAAAGCAACACAAAAAATCCAAATAAGGTGAAAATATATATAAATTATAGACATTTCAGAAAAATCCTACCAAGAGAAACATATAAAAACAAGGTATATTGCAAGAAATACTCCCAAAACATTATAGAAAACATTTCAAATACATATAAATATGGAAAAGTATATAGATATCAAGAAGGTCACAATCTTTTTTTATACAATCGCTTTATTTCAAAATTTAATATAATTTTTATATTTTTATATTTTTTAACTACCCCGAGTTTTACCGAGTACTCAGCTTAGTAAGGGGCCGAGTACGAGTGGACTGGGCCAAGTTTCTAACGGTTGTTTAAGAATTGAAATGAACTTCAAAAGAAGAGGAGATAAATCAAAATATTTTTTTGTAGATTCATAATCATTATGGTTGAAATAATGAACTTGTATAGTTTTGGATCCAAAGTGTTATCGAGATCATACCACACCAAACTGGTGAAGGATTTGGTTTAATAGTAGTTCTAAAAGAATATATACAACTTTTTGTAACGGGTCTGATTCGTTAAAACCAATTAAATGCTATTTTTTACTAATTTTTTGGTAAACATTTTTATTTGGACTATATCAGCCAAAGTACCAATTAAAAATCCGCCCAGCTATGCTAAGCTTTTAGGACTCCAACTAATAAAGATGTAAACTCCTCAATTTAGTGATCTAACCTTAAAAAGTAACAATATCGACAGATGGTAGGAACTCAATATTTATCTTTTTATAAAAGCGAAAAAAGTTTATATAAAGCGCCAAATTTGTGTTATTGAAGAAATGGGCACTACAAATCCTCTACAAGAGAGTGTTATTACGTTTGAAATTCCTTCAATCGATCGTATCCATCTCGAGAGGTATGGATGTGAAGAAAAAAATAAAAATTCAAATGTTAAAAATAGCTCATTTTGTAACAAATTATTTGAGCCGTTTATTTTTAAGATTTTTAGGTATTGGTAGATACGCTTGATCTACAACATTTTTGAAATTTAAAAGTTATATCTAGAAATAAAGATTCTTAAGCCATCATTTATGAAGCTTCCATCCATGAAACTACATATCCATGCAAAATTTAAATATGTGCGGCCTTATGTAAACCTCACCCTTTCAAATTGGATTTTAAACAAAACTCCCAGGGAGTACTCAAAACCGTCAAGTGATCACCTGCAAGAAGTAACCTGCACCGTCCGTATGAATGTAATCAAAATCTGGCATGGGGAGACCACTCACAAGCGGGTCCACAAAGATTCAATCGTACAAAACTTTTGGTCAAAGAAAGGGGGCATTTTAGTAATTTCAAGATTAGGGGTAGCATAGTAATTTTAAGCTGCCGACCTAAGGCTTAGTGGCAGCACGAGCATCCTCATGGGAACAAGAGTCGGACAGGGGCAAAATGATAAATTTCCACATGAAGTGCAGTTCCGTAAATCCACGAAAAATTCAGGGAGAATCTCGGTATAATGGGGAATCAGCAAGGGCAGTCTCGGTATTGTTCTTCTATAAATGGCAAGAGAAGTTCTCATTGGCCATCAATGGCGAAAGGGTTTTCCTTTACTCCTCTGTAGTTTACGCAGGGGTTGCGTATAAATAAAGGGTGAGAATTCTATTCCATAGTTATCGTGCTCCCAACCAGTGAACAAGAGAAAAGAATAGACCTTTTTAATGGCGATTTCATTGCATTAAATGGTGATTAGGCTTTGAGGTTAAAGGATTTGAAGGAGAAAAAGGGAGAATTTCTGAGTTTTTTATTGTTTATTTTGGAGTTTGTGACCATTGTTAATGGCTAAGTGGATGAAGCCATCGATATTTCTTGTTTTTTAATTCTATTTTGAGTTGCAGAGGGTTTCAGGGACATTGAGGTTCAGAAATGGAGGTAGCTTGATTGCTTGATACTCTCTCTAATGGCTATTTGATGGCTTTTGTGGAAGAAGAAGGAGATTGTTGTTTTTGTAGGTTTTCTGATCTATTTTAGCATCCCTTGAGTTTTATAGAGAAGAAAAGCTTTAGAATTTCAGTGAATTAGATGAAGGATAATTTTCTATTGATTTCTTAATCGGCTTAGGGTTTCAAGAGATGTTTCACTCATGGATGCAAGAGATGTTTCACTCAATGGTTATGTATGCAAGTGCAGTCCAGTGTTTTTCCATTAAAGGTCGGGAGATTAAGCTCTGAAAAGTTTATAATTCGGTTAAAAGAGACAGGATTTGTTCTATTTTTAGCTCTGAACCAGTCTCTAATTGTGTAGCAGAAGGAGGAGTTTTCAGTTAAAGTGACTGTGATATCCAGTGCCTCTATCGCTATTGACAAGCAGTAAAAAGTCAAGAGAGAAGGAAAATCCTTAGCAAAAGAGCCAAGAGAAACTGCTATGGTCAAACTCCTTTGAGCTCAAAGGATTAAGAGTCACTGAAACTCACTGAATTTTTTTCCGGCCGAAGTCCGGTTATCCCTCCTTTTTTGGGCATCATATCAGGTCGTATAGCTTCTTATTGCGTTTATGGTGGTTAAAGAGGTGGTAACTCAATCGAAGATCTAGATCAATTAACCCAGTCTCCCGTATAAGATTTCATTACCTGATGCCTTTTTTTTAGGGGTTTTTTAACCCCATCTTTAATTGCTCATCAGTGTCGCAGCAAAAGATGTAGCTTAAAAGGGAAAGTACCATGTTTCAGTAGATTCGACCAAAGATCAGCTTAGGAAACAGGCAAAAAAAACCATTGATTTCAGCCCTCTCTCTCTCTCTCTCTCNCTCTCTCCTCTCTCTCTCTCTCTCTCTCTCTCTCTCTCTCTCT